TCTTAGATGTTGATTTTCTTTTACAGGAAGGATAGAAAGGAGTAAAGGTCCGATGTAGGATTGTCGAGCTCAAAGAAGTTGGTTGATATTTAAAGCTCGAATTTTGGGTATTTTTTTGTTTATGTACATGTTATATATATATACTATGTAAGGGTAGTTATATGTCCCTTCATCAACGAAACTTATCTCTTTTGGTGAATAGCTTTATATCCTGTTTTATTTTAGAGTTGTATATTGAATCTAATATTACCTGGTGAAATTAGCTTCCGCTTTAGTGTGGTGCTACAATTACGATATCAGAGAGTGGTTTAAGTGAGCCAGGTACCAGTAATGGTATCTGAACTTAAACCTAGGTGTTGATGTTATATAGTAACTAAGTGTCGATCTTTTCGGGATACAGACCTTAGGAGAGACTTAAGTTGGGGTATGGGATAAAGATAAGATATAATATATGTTAATATATCTTTATGTATTTTACTTTCAGAATCATGGCTGACGATGATGTTGCAAGTCATACTCCGAAAAACCCCGTCGTTGGAGATCATGATCCAAATCAAGGTCAGCATGATGATGAGACACCCTTGTCTCCTCGTGGTGAACAGTTGATGAAAAAGCTCACTACGGTCATCCAACAGACATTTGAACAACATAAGAATGAAATCGGTAAAGATAAGGGAAAAGAAAAGGATTTAGGTGAACTCTCGAGACCCAGATCTGAAAGGGTATCATCTAAGGCATTTAGAGGCTGTGGAGCAACAGAGTTTACCGGACTCACTGATCCGGTAATTGCCATTCAATGGATTCAAAACACTAAGAAAGTCTTTCGCATAGCTCGTGTGGCTAATGAGGATAAGGCAATTTATGCAAGTGCGATGCTTACTGAAATAGCACTTGTATGGTGGGATGCAACATTTGAGACCCTGAATGAAAACGAGAAAGAAAGTATGTCGTGGGAGTCCTTCAAGGCTCGTTTCTTTGAGCAATACTGTCCAGCGGACTTACAAAGGAGGTTAGAGAAGGAATTTCTCAAGTTAAAGCAAGGCAACATGTCAGTGATTGAGAATGAAACTCAATTCAACCAAAAAGCCTGTTTTGTAATCCGTTTTATTACATCAGAGGAGGAGAGAGCACGAACTTTCATTGAGGGACTGAGATATGAAATTAGAGACTTTGTTGCAAACCAAGAGATCCCTAGCTTCAATAAGGCGATAGAATATGCTCGACGTCGTGAGCATGATTTGGAAGAGTGTGGTGAGTTGTCTTCTATGCCTAAGCATCAAAAGGTAGATCGAACGTTTTATGGCCCGAGTTATAGATAGTCTCAATCCTCTAATCCAAGACACTCGCATTCTCAAAATACGCATTCACACAACGTATCACATGCTCATTCACAGGCCTTCACACTTCAGTCGGAAACATCACGTCATTGCCAACGATGTGGCAAGACTCACCGGGGGCGCTGTGAAAGTAATTGGACTCTGATTAAGTGCTTTAATTGTGATAAGACGGGACATGTACGATCGATGTGTCCACAAAAAGGTCGAGCTTGTTACTCCTGCGGTTCTCCAGATCACTTTATTCATGATTGTCCCTGACCACGTTGTAATGAAAGTAAAGCTTCAGTCCAGCACCCTATGAATGCAGGTACTTCCATTCAAAAGGAGGAGATACCCAAACCTCGAGTTAGAGCATTTCAGATCACGGCAGAAGAAGCTCGTAATGAGCCCGATGTTGTCACTGGTATTTTCTTTGTAAACTCTCGACCTACGCATATATTGTTTGATTCTGGAGTGACGAATTCTTTTGTGTCACATCACTATATATGTGTTATTTGAATTCGGTGCCTTGTTTGCTTTCTACACCATTTGCTATCAGCATAGCTAACGATGTATCTTTGATAGCTGATAGAGTTTATAGAGATTGTGTGATAGAGTTAGATGATCATGAATTTCTAGTTGATTTGATACCTATTGATGTACACGGCTTCGATATCGTTATTGGCATGGATTGGTTAGTGAAGAATCATGCAGATATTCTTTGTTCCTAGATAATTCGGATACCGATCGAAGGGAAAAAACCTTTGTATATCTACGGTGAGAGGAGAACAGGAGATGTGAAGGTAATATCTATTCTTAAGGCTCGAAGATATTTGACAAAAGGATGTTGCTCTTTTTTAGCTTATGTGTTAGATACATCAAAAGAAACAAAGAAGACGGTGAAAGATGTACCCGTTGTACGAGATTTTCTGGATATATTCCCTAATGATTTGCCTGGTTTACCACCAGATAGGCAAGTTGAATTCCGGATAGATATTGTGCCTGGTGCTGCACCCATAGCAAGGACTCCCTATCGTCTTGCACCAACAGAGATGAAAGAAATGATGAGACAGTTACAAGAGTTGTTAGAAAAAGGTTTTATTCGACCGAGTACTTCACCTTGGGGTGCTCCGGTACTATTTGTGAAGAAGAAAGATGGGTCTTTGCGGATGTGTATGGATTTTCGCGAGCTGAATAAAGTAACAATCAAGAATAAGTATCTGTTGCCTCGTATTGATGATCTATTTGATCAACTTCAAGGAGCTAGTTATTTCTCCAAAATTGATCCGAGGTCGGGTTATTATCAGCTTAGAGTACATGATGAGGACGTGCCAAAGACGGCTTTTCGTACTCGTTATGGGCACTTCGAGTTTCTTGTGATGCCTTTTGGGTTAATAAATGCCCCGACTGCTTTCATGGACATGATGAATCGTGTATGTCGTCCTATGCTCGACAAGTCTATGATCGTTTTCATTGATGATATCTTGGTGTATTCTAGGACCAAGAGTGATCATGTTATGCATCTTCGTGAGATGCTAAAGCTGTTAAGGATAGAAAAGTTATATGCGAAGTTTTCTAAGTACGAATTTTGGCTTCGCCAAGTACAATTCTTGGGGCACATGATTTCGGGAGAAGGTGTTTCAGTTGATTCGTCAAAGATCGAAGCAATACAACAATGGGAAGCACCAAAGAATACTTTAGAGATTCGTAGTTTCCTTGGTCTTGCGGGATACTATCGACGTTTTATTAAGGATTTCTCAAAGATCGCAGTGCCACTTACATATATTACCCGGAAGGATGTGAAGTTTGAATGGAGAGAAGCTCAGGAGAAAGCATTTCAGACTCTGAAAGATTGTTTGACAAATGCACCAGTACTTGCCTTACTCGAGGGCAATGATAATTTTGTAGTATACAGCGATGCGTCGAAGTTCGGATTAGGTTGTGTATTAATGCAATGAGGCAAGGTAATAGCATATGCCTCTCGACAGTTGAAAGAGTATGAGAAGAATTATCCCACACATGATCTTGAATTAGCGGTGGTCGTATTTGCACATAAGTTATGGAGGCATTACTTGTATGGCACAAAATGCCAACTGTACACAGATCACAAGAGTTTGAAATATATCTTCGATCAAAAAACACTGAATATGCGACAACAAAGAGCTATGGAACTWATCAAAGATTATGACTGTGAGATTCTCTATCACCCGGGTAAAGCCAATGTAGTRGCGGATGCATTGAGTAGAAAGGCTCACAAAACTGGGATTTGTTATGTTATTACTCATACGACAGTGAAGTCTACCCTCGTGGATAACCTATGGAAATGGCAAAGTAAGGCTTTGAAACCGAAACATGTGAAATCGGAGCGAATGATTTGTTATTTGGATTCATTATCGGAAGATAGTCGTGGGTTGAAAGTGTTCAGAAATCGTATTTGGGTACCGAAACTTGGAGGAATGAGGAAGATTGTATTGACTGAAACACATAAATCGAAGTTGTCGATTCACCCTGGGACTACAAAGATGTATCAAGATATGCGGTTAGATTATTGGTGGCCAGGAATGAAATAGGATATTGGTCGTTTCGTATGAGAGTGTACCACGTGTCTGCAAGTTAAAGCTGAGCATCAGAAACCTTATGGGAGCTTGCAACCTCTCAGTGTGCCTGTGTGGAAGTGGGAAGAACTATCTATGGATTTGATTACGAAACTACCGAAGATGTCCAAGCAACACGATAGTATCTRGGTTATTGTAGACAGACTGACGAAGAGTGCTCATTTTCTTGCTGTTCGCGAGTCCTATTCAATTGATATGTGGGCACAATTATATTTGAATGAAATTATTGCTAGGCACGGTGAACCAGTTAAAATAGTCTCAGATCATGACACTCGTTTCACTTCAAACTTTTGGACGTGCATGCAGAGAGAGTTAGGGACGCGTGTTGCTCTAAGCACAACGTATCACCCACAGACCGATGGACAGACAGAGAGAACGATTCAGACCTTGGAAGATATGTTACGTGCATGTGTACTAGAGTTTGGAGGTAGTTGGGACAAGTATTTTCCATTAGCTGAGTTTTCATACAATAACAGTTACCATGCATCGATCAAGATGGCACCATTCGAGGCAACGTATACTTATTCTTGATTGTTACTTGTTCAGCTCGCGATAATCTATACACATCCGCAAAGACCCATCTTTCTTCTTCACAAATAGTACCAGAGCACCCCAAGGTGAAGTACTCGGTCGAATAAAACCTTTTTCTAACAACTCTTGTAACTGGCTCATCATTTCTTTCATCTCTGTTGGTGCAAGACGATAGGGAGTCCTTGCTATGGGTGCATCACCAGGCACAAGATCTATCCAGAATTCAACTTGCCTATCTGGTGGTAAACCAGACAAATTATTAGGGAATATATCCGGAAAATCACGTACAACGGGTACATCTTTCACCGTCTTCTTTGTTTCTTTTGACGTATCTAACACATAAGCTAAAAAAGAGCAACATCCTTTCGTCAGATATCTTCGAGCCTTAAGAATAGATATTACCTTCACATCTCCCATTCTCCTCTCACCGTAGATATACAAAGGTTTTTCCCTTCGATCGGTATCTGAATTATCCGCTGGGAACAAAGAATATTTGCACGGTTCTTCACTAACTAATCCATGCCACTCACGATATCGAAGCTGTGTACATAAATAGTTATCAAATCAACTAGAAATTCATGATCATCTAACTATATCACACAATCTCTATAAAACTCTATCAGCTATCAAAGATACATCGTTAGGTATGCTGATAGCAAATGGTGTAGAAAGCAAACAAGGCACCAAATTCAAATAACGCATATAGTGATGTGACACAAAAGAATTCGTCGCTCCAGAATCAAACATTATATGCGCAGGTCGAGAGTTAACAAAGAAAATACCAGTTACAGCATCGGGCTCATTACGAGCTTCTTCTGTCGTGATCTGAAACGCTCTAACTCGAGGTTTGGGTATCTCCTCCTTTTGAATGGAAGTACCTGCATTCATAGGGTGCTGGACTGAAGCTTTACTTTCATTACGACATGGTCGGGGACAATCTCGAATAAAGTGATCTGGAGAACCGCAGGAGTAACAAGCTCGACCTCTCTGTGGACACATCGATCGTACATGTCCTGTCTTATCACAATTAAAGCACTTAATCATAGTCCTTTTACTTTCACAGCGCCCCCGGTGAGTCTTGCCACATCGCTGGCAATCACGTGATGATTCCGACTGAAGTGTAAAGGCCTGTGAATGAGCACGTGATACGTTGTGTGAATGCGTATTTTGGGAATGCGAGTGTCTTGGATTAGAGGATCGAGACTTTCTATAACTCGGGCCAGAAAACGTTCGATCTACCTTTCGATGCTTAGGCATAGAAGACAACTCACCACGCTCTTCCAAATGATGCTCACGACGTCGAGCATATTCTACCGCCTTATTGAAGCTAGGGATCTCTTAGTTCGCAACAAAGTCTCTAATTTCATATCTCAGTCCCTCAATGAAAGTTCGTGCTCTCTCCTATAATAGGGGCACAAGCATATAAGGAAAGTATATATACACATATGTACACATAGTATACAAAATGTTCCCGAATGAACTCAAGTAACCTATATGAGTATACAAAGGCTTTCCGAATCAATAAACTCATGAATCAATATTCTTCAAGGCAACAAAAACCTGATTATGGCAATTTCAACATTTCGTGTATCGAAGATATCATGAGATCGTGTTACATTAAGTAAATAAATAACACAACATAACAACCACTAAGGCATAGTGTTCCAGCCACTAAGACATAGTGTTCCAGCCACTAAGGCCTATTATATATATAGTCCTATTCAATTGATATGTGGGCACAGTTATATTTGAATGAAATTATTGCTAAAATAGTCTTAGATCGTGACACTCGTTTCACTTCAAACTTTTGGACGAGCATGCAGAGAGAGTTAGGGACGCGTGTTGCTCTTAGCACAGCGTATCACCCACAGATCGATGGACAGACAGAGAGAATGATTCAGACATTGGAAGATATGTTATGTGCATGTGTACTAGAGTTTGGAGGTAGTTGGGACAAGTATTTGCCATTAGCGGAGTTTTCATACAATAACAGTTACCATGCATCGATCAAGATGGCACCATTCGAGGCTTTATACGGGTGAAAGTGTCGTACACCTTTGTGTTGGCATGAAACGGGAGAGAAAGTTTTGGCTGGTCCAGAATTGATACAAGATACTCATGAAAAGATTCAAATAGTTCGTGAAAGAATGAAGGCGGCACAAAATAGACGGAAGTCATATACCGACAAACGGCGACGGCCGATAGAGTTTTCAGTTGGCGACATGGTAATGTTAAAGGTTTCGCCATGGAAGGGTATTATGAGATTTGGAAAGAAGGGTAAACTTAGTCCTCGTTTTGTAGGACCCTTCAAAATCATTGAGCGTATTGGAAAACAAGCATATAGATTGGAGCTACTTGAAGAGCTCACCGGAATACACAATGTCTTCCATGTCGGGTATCTCTGAAAATGTCTTGGAAAACATGAAGAAATGGTGCCATTGACTGAAGTGAAGCTGGACGAAAAGCTTAGATATGTTGAAAAACCGGAAACACTATTGAATGAAAGATCGGTGAACTTATGAAACAAGGTCGTGGATTTGGTGCTAGTAAAGTGGAAACATCACCGTGGACCAAATTGGACGTGGGAGAACAAGAATGAAATGAAGGCTAAGTATC